CAGAAGTATAGAAGTGGGTAACGCAGCCTCCACCATAGCTTGTGGGTTATCACTTTCTCCCGGTTTCTCAAACAGGGGGAGGAGGGCATTTCTTTTGGAGGAAGGCATTGCTTAAACTTTCATGATTTTATTTTATAGTCATGGGCAAATTCAGAAACAGTTCTGGATTTAAGTTAACTCACTTGCAAATTGGGGCTCTGCTATGGGTGGAATTGTGTCCCCCAAAGGTTCATGTATTAATCCCACCGTAACGGTGTTGAGGGTGGGAAATCCTATTATGATAATTGAAAGGTGGGCCCTTAAGAGGTGATTTCGTTGTGAGGACCATGCCCTAGTGAATGGATTGATCCATTCATGGAGTAATGGGCTGACGGTTTAATGGGTGGTTACGGGCATGGTTCTGATGGTTTATAAGGAGAGCATGTGAGCAGGTGAGCTCTCTGTTGCTCAGTGCATTCTCCATGTGACACTCTGCACAGCTGTAGAGTCACCGCCAAGAACAAGAAGGCTCCACCAGATGTGCTCCCGGGACTGTGGACTTCTCAGGCTCTGAAACTATAAGAAATAAATATTATTTCTTTATAATTTACCCAGTTTCACATATTCTGTTATAAGCCACAGAAACAGGCTAATACTCTTAACCCATCTCTCAAGGTTAGGAAGGCCCGTATTAATTACTGTTCTATGGTTCTGGTGGAAAGAGCTGTTCTGGCATCTTATAACCTCAGTGTGTGTGTGTGTGTGTGTGTGTGTGTGTGTGTGCGTGTGCGTGTGTGCGTGCGCGCTCAAACTGGTGTGTACAGTACTAAGGTTCATGAATGTGAAGGTTGTGGGGAGGTCTAATTTCTCATGCTTTATTCCTCCTGAGATCTAAATTCTCAATACCTCTTCTGTCTCAAGTGAAGGGTATAGAGGAAGAAAGAGTAGCAACTAATTTTGTGATAAATAACACAAAGTTAAAATTAACTTCTCTCCAAAAAAGTCTCCATATAGAAGATGGCCCTTCCTACAATGGCCTGGACATGTGGCCAGGTGGCCCATGTTGCATGTTGAATTTCCACAGGCCCTTGGAAACCCATGTTTGGTGAAGTTGGGAAAGCAGGAAAACCTCCCAGTCCTTCAGTCTATTCTTATTTATTAATCATCCAGGTTGGAACTTGTGGTTCATGTAGTGCCGAGTGATGTGGTGGGCATTAAGGAAAGAGATGAATTGTTTTGTCACAAGGAATTGGTGGTCATAAAATGGAAATATTTGTTTCACTTGTGTAACATTTCTCTCATTTCTCCAGTGTGTTCCGGACTATTCCAGACCCTGAAAAAAAGAGAGGAATAAGACTGGAAGGGTCACAGTAAAAATATATATAGAGGTAAGCTCAGTGTGTTGCAGATGATGTTAAAACTCCGACACAAGATAAAGAAAATGTGGAATATTATTTAGCCATCAAAGGAGCAAATCCTGCCATTTGTGACAACATGGATGAACCGATGATATTATGCTACATGAAATAAACCAGACACAGAAAGACACACACTGTGTGATCTTACCTATGTGTGTAATCTAAACGAGTCAAACTCCTAGAGGCAGGCAGTGGAATGGTGAGTGCCAGGGTCTGGGGTGGGGGGAGGGGGAGATGTTGGTCAAAGGGTAAAAACCTTTCAGTTGTAAGATGAATAAGTTCTGTACACCTAATGTACAGTACAGTGACTATAGGAAATAATCCTGTATTGTACAGTTGAAAGTTGCTAAGATATAGATCTGAAGAGTTCTCACCACCCACTTTTTTAGAAGAGGTAACTATGTGAGGTGATGGATGTGTTCACTAACTAGATGGTGGCAATCACTTCACAATGTACATGTGTATTTAATCATCACATTGTACAACTTAAATATACGCAACTTTTATTTTTCAAAAAACCCCCCCAAAAACAAAACCCTATGAGATGGGAGGAGAGAATGGACAGAGAGGAAGAGGTCTGACAACTGAGTCATAAATAAATGTCGGGAGACCACAGGATCTTGTGTGAACTTTGTATGAGTTGAGTCCAGTTCCCAGTGATGTTTCTCCCGTCCTCCTGCACACGTATGTGTTTTGTTTCAGGACTCAGTGGTCTTTGAGGATGTGGTTGTGGACTTCGCCCTGGAGGAGTGGGCCTTGCTGAGTCCTGCTCAGAGGAAACTCTACAGAAATATGATGCTGGAAACCTTCAGGAACCTAGCCTTAGTAGGAAAGGATGGCATAATTCCTTCACTTAGTTTTTTAGATAATAAATATTTCTTGCTCATCAAGCCTATTCTGAGATTTGGAATGTAGGAGAGAAATACATTGGTTAATAATACAGTTATGATCACAGCCATCCTAGGCCTAGAATCTAATAGTTTCTCTGTGACAATAAAAATCTACATATTAACCTGTTTTTCTTTCTGTCTTGTTTAAAAGACTTAAGGTTGTTTAGTGTCATCAGTGTGTGTATATATTCACGAGTCATGTTGGGGTCACGGAGAGGCTTGTTGTCTGAGACTTTGTGATGATCTCTGCGTGTATATTAAATTGCCTACCATCTGACCTTGTGTGTCATTAGCAATGAAGTCACGAACAGCTCAGCTCCTGAGTCTCTTTATTTGCTCACAGATGACTTCTTCGTAGATTTGCTTACTTTAAAATTTTTTTTCACTTTTTTGTTTCAGATGGTGAGACAAAACTTAAAACCAATGGGTCCATTTCTCAGCAGGATATATTTGGTGAAAAATTATCCAATGAACAGAAAAAAGCAAGGTTCACAAGAAATGATACCTGGGCCTCCCTTTTAGGAAAAAATTGGAAAGACTATAGCATTAAAGAGAAGCACAAAAGCAAGTGAAGACCTTTGAGGTGAGTTGGACCTAAGACGAAAAAGCAGTGTCCCAGTAGAAAGTTGTATTATTTCATGAAACTAAAAAAAAAAAGCATTAAAGAGAAGCACAAAAGCAAGTGAAGACCTTTGAGGTGAGTTGGACCTAAGACGAAGAAGCAGTGTCCCAGTAGAAAGTTGTATTATTTCATGAAACTAAAAAAAACAAACAAACTCACAAACCTAGCCCCAAATTAATTTATTCACAGAGAATCCTACCCACTATTTCTTCCCTTACTATGACTTAGACATTGAGTGTTTGAAAGATAGTTAGATTGGAGACAGTTATCAGGAAACCCCATGTACTACTATTGTTGTAGTAATGGGCTATGGTTGAACCTCCTTCCAGAAAACTTAGTGTATTCCACTTTGAAATAATTTAAACAGGGCAGAAAACCTACACTTACACAGAAAATGGTTAGTGTGTACTCCTAATACTCATTGATAAACATTAAATACTCACTAATAAGCCATTAATAACGTGCTTCCCATTTTTAGCGAAAGCAAATGGTGGTGAGACTCTGTAAAAGTGGTAAAGGTGGTGATTGTGAGGAAAGCTTAAGCCAGATTCCAAATCTTAATCGGTACAAGAAACCTACTAGAGCAAGACAGTATAAATGCAGTTAGTGTGGAAAGTCTTCACCCATTCTTCATCCCCGTAGAGGCACAAAAGAAGTCATACTGGACACAAACTACATCAGTGTGAGGAATGTGGGGAAGCCTTCAGTTGCCCTTCATACCTGAAAACTCACGTAAAAACTTACAATGGAGAGAAACTCTATGCGTGTAAGTTATGTGGGAAAAAGTTTCTTCATCCCCATTCTCTCACTGAACATATAAAGACTCACACTGGAGAAAAGCCTTATGAATGTAAGCAGTGTGGGAAAGGCTTCAGTTGTCCCAAATCCTTTAGATCACATGTGATGATGCACACTGGAGAGAAGCCCTATGAATGTAAGCAGTGTGGGAAAGCCTACTGCTGGTGCACATCCTTTCAAAGACATGTGAGAGTTCACAATGGAGAGGAACCCTAGAAATGTGAAAAATGTGGGAAGGCATTTGGCTGGCCCTCCTCCTTATACACGCATGGCAGAATGCACACTGGAAAGAAACCTATACAAGTATGCAAGGTAGGAAACCATTCGATTGGCTCTCATCCTTCCAAAAATGTAAGAATGCAAACAGGAGGGAAACTCTATAAATGTGAAAAATGTGGGAAAGTTTTTGGTTGTACTTCATCCTTACACAAACATGTGAAGGCACACACTGGAGAGAAGCCTAGATTATAAGCAATGTGAGAAAGCCTTTAACTGGCCCTCATCCTTCTAAAACTCTAAGAATGCAGACTGGAGAGAAGCCCTATAGATGTGAAAAATGGGGAAAGCTTTCAGTTGTCTCAAATCCTTTCAAGGTCATGTGAGAAGTCACACTGGCAAGAAACCCTACAAATATAAGTAGTGTGGGAGAGGATATACTAATTAGTTCATATATAATGGATCAGAAAATTCACACCAGGAGAGAAATCTTATAAAAGTTATACATATGGTATCGCACCTATCTTTTCCTCACCCTAAAAGTGGACCTCTAGAGAATGAATTTCTGGTTCTCTTGCAAATAGACATTGAGGTGAGAATTCTCTAAGTACTCTTTCATTCTAGTGCATAATTTTTGATACACAGTGGTTGGTTTTCTTAAATAAATTCAGTTAATAATTTTTCTCTTTCCATTTTGAAGCATGTTATACCCATGGAAGACTTGAAGTGTATTTTTACTATGCATTAAATACATAATTTTTATAAAGTTTTTTGGTTGTTCTGTAATTATAAAGCCATAAAACTAATGAAATGTTGGTATTTGTTGGTGTTTTCTTACTGGCTCTGTGTGTTCCTAACTGGATATTACTTACCTGTTACATACAAGGGTACTTCAGAAAGTTCATGGAAAATAGAATTAAAAGACAATATGAACCTTTCCGTGGGTTTGCTGAAGTCCTCGCATATATTCCACCTTTCTACTTCACTGAGAAAACCAACAGTGTTTAATCTTAATACTTTTCACTTACATCAGGTATGTATTCTCAGCAACTTAATTTTTTGCCAAGAGGATCCTTATTCCATTTTGCTGGCTGGTTAATAGTTGGCAGAAATCTGTTAAGTATGCAAACCTACTGAAAGAGTATGGTCTCATGTGAACTGTTATTTTTATCTGTTGCTGTTTGCTCTTTGTCCTTGTTTCTGGCTGGAATTGGACAATAGGTATGAATTAGGAAGAGAGACCTGTGATATGACAGTGATATCTACAGGTGGGGATGGTTCTGCTGCATTGTGTCATAGCAACATGGGTAAGGCTAGGAAGTTCATTTCCAAGGTTTCCTTCGCTAGATGGTTCCATGTTAGAATTCTGTAATAGCCCAACTTGCATGAAATTTGGAAGAAGCAATTATTCAGTTTATCAAGCCATGACCACACAGGGAGATAGACAAATGTGTAGGGACTGTGTGGACACCGGGGTCCAGCTTATTTTCCAGATTGCTGGCCCCACCAATCAAAAGTATCCTCAAAACATATAGTAACTGCTTGGCTTCGGTTGTGTCAGAGGTGGAGACTTCCACAGACATCTCCACCAGCTTTCCCATCATGGATGCACGCACAGTTTGGATTTTCCTGCAAGCCCTATGCTGTCCGCCAGGCCGTGGATTCAGGATGCCATGGTTGTTGATCTTATGTGATGTTCTGACTCCCTTTTCCTATACATCTTACTATCTGTCTGTAAAGTCTAACTTGTATAGCGAACACCTCATTCTCTTAACAATTCTCATGCTTCTGTGTTCCTGATTCCACTACAACACATACAATAAGGCAGCCATGAAAACACATGAGATTGTTTCCCTATGGCATCATTGAGAGGCTACGCTGACTCAGTACCTCCATGAGATAAATCAGCACATTATTGACATACTGGGTGGAATGTGGGGATTTTGTTACCCAGAGCTGAATACAATCCCTTGGTACATGTTTAATTATTACATTTGATTAAGACAAAACACCTTTTTCTGAGAAATGTCATATTAACTGTTTTCAAATAAGTTGTATACTATATAAAGGTGTCAAATGTTTCTGAGAAATAGCCTATTAACTGTGTTTTCAAATAAATTGTATATAAATGTCAATCTGTATTTTTCATTTACTGAAAGGATATACTAAAATATTAAAACTATAAATTTTCAAGTCAATGTTGTAACTTTGTGAATTGAAGCATTACACATTCTGAATCAATATTTCCAGGAACATTCAGGTTTAAGCATTTTTCTCTCTAGTAAATTTATCTTATATTGTTCCAAGTTGATCAAATAACTTCAGTCATTCATAATAGTAAAAACTTAAAAATTGGTTTTACCAATTTAATTAAGTACTGCATATGGCTAGTAAAAGATATAAAAACATCCTAATAGAACAAGTTTAAATTTTATTGGATAGTACCAAGGCAGAATGAAGTAGCACATGAGCCATGACAAGAGCGATCATGGAGAATGCAGGAGGAAGGACAGGGCTCAGGAGGTGAGGATGTCATCATTCATTCATTTATACTTATGTCATCTTGTGCGTCTTACACACTAGTTCCAGAACTTCTCATGAGTGTTAGTAAATAGTGGGTAGTGATCCAGAAATCGTCCTCCACTCATGGAGTTAACAGTAATTAGTTTCCATAAAAATGAAATTATAGTCATGGTTTGGCCTCTTTTTTGTAAAAGTGAAAAATCTCAGGGCCTGTCCTACGTATTTATGAGATTGGACACTGGTGTCTAGGACTGGATGCTTTTTACACTGATTCGGGCCACAGCATGGTGTTTGTGATGAACGTCCTTGTCAAATTTAATTTCAAGTTGTCTTATATATTTGGCATTTTCATTCTGCTACTCATACACATGGACAAAATTTGTTCTGCAGAAAACTAGAGTTTTCACAGTTTGAGGAAGGGTCTGTACAGCTCTAGCCCAAGTGAGTCTTCTCCTGAGACGAGAGTGTTGTCTGCACAAGCCCACTCTGATTTCCTGGCAGAAGCAAGTGGAAGGAAGAGCTGTGGACAGTGGAAAGGGAACTAGGGGAGGAATGACTGAAGGGAGCTGCAGACAGTGTTATTACTCTGAGTAATATACCAATTAGGGAAAATTCAATTTTCAAAAATTAAAAAAATGCTTTTTAATTGTTCAAGTGTAAACTTTTGTTTTAGTGATCCACAAACCCCCAAATGCCCATTTTGCTTTTCACAGGTATTGCTTCCATATGCTTAGACTTCCAGCACATTTTAGAAAATAAAAATATATAAAAAGCTTTGTGTTTAATTAAAGGACAACTGAAATCCAGTCTTTGCCCATTTTTCCATGTTAACTTTGGCTTTCATAGCACTGTAGACATTGGTGTCACTTCATAATCCATCACCTCATTTGATCACCCCTCCCCAGCATCCTGCTCATTGTACAAATGACAGAAGTTAAGCACAGGGGCAGAGTCCTGTTTAAGCTTACACACCCCATGATAATAATGAAATATCTCCATGTTCAAGGCCTAATGTATGCTACCATATGTATTGAGCACTGTGGAAATTTTACAATCTCAAGACAACTTGGACAAATATAATTATACAATTTTCCAAATGGTCATCAAATTTTAAACATGGTACTCAAAAGTCTACATTTATATGACATTCTGGAAATAGCAAAAGTATGGGAATCTAGAACAGGTCAGGCATTAAGAGCAGGGGAAGGCTTATCTATAAAAGAGCACTAGGCATTCCTCTGGGAGGTGATGGAGTGTTTTGTATATTGATTATGGTGGCTTCAGCTTCTGGGTGGTTCCTCAGAAAACGCCTGCCTGGGATGTTGCAGCTTGAGAAGCTGCCACTTTCCCTGACAGCATGCACTTAGTTACAGGAAAAGAAAAGCTTCATGAGAGTAACACATATTTTGTAAGTGGAGGAATGTGTGTCTAACCCCTCATTCCGCTATGGACAGTTGATTCTGTTTGAGAATTTTAGTGTCCCTTTTTAGCCACAGGGAGCCCATTTTCTCCATCTATTAGGGTACATTTTAACAAGAGTGAAAAGACCACCAGCAGAACAAAAGAAGAAACTTGCAATACATATACAAGGGACTTCAAAAAAGTTCATGGAAAAATGGAATTAAAAGTCAAAATAAAAAATATAAACTGTATTTTTTGACACAAGCACCATCAAGTTCAAGACACTTGAAAGCAGTGATTCCAGGCACCTGGTCCATCCCTAAAGAACTTCCCAGGGTCCTGGGAAGGTAAGGATCAGAATTCTACCTAGGAGACCCCTCATAGAGAACTTTACTTTCCAGATCCACAGTATTTCCAGAGCTCAGACCCCGGAACCTGGGGGCACAGATGCCTTCTCACATCTTTCTGGGCATGTGTCTGAGGTGACGGCAGACGTGGCTCTGCAGGTTGTGTTCTGTGTCACACTGGGTTCCAAAAAAGGCCTGATGACTTGAGATCATTCCTTCCTGTATCTAGCACTGTCTGCAAGGTTGCCAAGGAGGTGGAAAGAATTGGTATACCTTAGCTAAAAATTAAGGTTCAGGTGAGTTTAAATTTCCTCTTAGTTCACATAGTGTGTTTTCTGTTATTTATGAATATGCATAACAGTACAATTCAGTCTTTTTAGAGTAATTCCGTGAGTTTTCACAAGTGCGTACAGTGGTACCACAATCATGAAAGACTAGTTCATCACCCCAAATCATCACTCTAGGGCTGCTCGTTTGTGGTCAAGTCTTCCCCCACCCTTAGGCCTTTATCTGTTCTAGATGCCCAAAGTTTAGCTTTTTCCAAAGTACCATATAAATGGAATCAGACACTGTGTAAGCATTTTGAGTCAGATTTATAATATTTGATGTCTTATTTGTAAGATTGGGTAATTATACTTGCCTTTCAGTGAATTTTAAATTTCTGAGCTTTCAGTTTCCACAGTTTGAAGTTTCTACAGTGGCAGTGTAGGTCATAAAGCACATTGTCTT